ATCTCCACAATGCCCACAAAGGAAAAATGGGAAACCTGGAAGACATATCCTCATCTGTCTGGATTGCTCCTGAAGGCATATAAGGAAAGCCAACCTGGAACAAGGTGCCTGTTCTTATTTAAAAAAAAAAAAAAAAAAAAGCCTGATCTTTTGATTCTTACATAAAAATTCAATTTTGAATAATGTAATTTTTTTCATGAGAAATTAAATGATAAGGGAAAATTTGCATCAGAAAAAGACTCCATAAGGAATTAGGCTGTCAAGTAATAACCATTGTCCAAAGAATTTTGGAAGAATTCCTCTAGCATGATTGCTGCTGATGCCACAGCCAATGAGAAAGATGAGCTAGTATGGCTTTCAAGTATATGGCATTCACTTCTCACCATGGCATGTGGAAAATTTTATTTCACTCCTTTCTCCTTTCATTCTTTGTCCCATTAACCATTCACTTTTCAAAAATGCATTAACTCAGCATACCTTCTACATACCAGACATACACATACTACTGTGTGTCAGGATAGAGCAATAATAATAATAACACAAGAACAGTAACTAAACCTAACTCTCAAATTCAAATAGTCCTTGTTTGCTATGCGCTGGGCAGTGTTCTCAGTATATACATTAGGTTATTTAATTCTCTCTTTTATTGTTATTTTATTACAGTTGTCCCAATTTTTTCCCCTTTGCCCTCTCCGCCCATCCTCCCCCCACTCCTGCAGTCAGTTCCCATGCTGTTGTCCATGGGTCATTCATACCTGTTCTTTGTCTAGTCTCTTCCCCTTCTTTCCGCCATTATCCCCCACCCCCATCCCCTCTTGTCATTGTCAATCTGTTCCATGTTTCCATGCCTGTCTTGTACCAATCTCCTGATGTAAGGACAGCTATATGCCCCCGTTTCAGATTAGCGACTAAAGTACAAGATTAACTTCTCAGGTCACAGAGTCAGTAAATGTCAGAATCAGCGTGCAAATTTACATCTTTTTATTCCTTTGTCCACGATCTTGACCTCTATGCTATATGAAGAAAATCAGACATGGCTTTGTGGAACTTTCAATGTTCTAGAGAAGACAGACATTAAACAAACAAACACACAAGCACATCTTATCTCAAATACTGATAAGATATATAAAAAAGAGCAAAGTGCTATGAAATAGAATTGTATAACATTACAAAGACTAGTTTTGCAAGCTAAGAAATGCAATGATTATTATCTCTGGTGATTATTCATATAAATGACAAAGTTATAAAATGTAAGACAGCAAGCTGGTTAAAAAGAGCTGGAGAAAACTAAGGCTGGGAGGCCAAGGAAAGTGACTAGTAATTCAGCCCTTCACCCCTGCCAGAGAGCCTTGCCATTTTGGTGGTCCTTCTTGCTGGTATGCTCAGAATAACAAAATATAAAGGATCTGGCAAATGTAATCCCTTCTCCTATCCTTATCTCTTCTGAATAAGGAAATTCAACCTGGATCAGGTGCCCCTTCTTCACACCTGAAAGTGAGTAATCCCTTAGCCTTTGACCAAGAAGTACATGGTAAATGTCTTAAAAAACAAACAAACAAAAAAAACCCTTAATTTCTGATTTAATGTTTTTGTTTATTTAAAAAAAAGAAAAAGACTTCTTTGGCACATAATGGCTAGCAAGATCCTCTGGAAACAATTCAAGATAAGGCTTAGCGTCAGTAAAACAAACAAAACACCTTTATAAGACTTGGAAACAGACTAAAATATTGTTTAAAGACCAAACCAGGGAAGCAGAAAATCAAGTTCCCAGAGCAACAAAATTTCTTCTCATCCTGAGTATTTTTTTTAAATCTGCACTTTATTGCCCTACACAACCAATTAAAGATCTACCTCTTTTCCTTTAGTGTTAGAGAAATCAAACAGAAAGAAGAAAGTCTGTCTTCTCTTCTCAAAATGCTGTCTCTCTGTAATCTGGAAATTTTGCATCTTTGATTTTTGTTATTTATTTTATGTATTATTTTTATGTCTGCAGTCTTTATATCAGGCATGACCCATTAGAATAGGATTATGTCCAATAACGATGTGACTCTTAGCTCCTAATTCTATGGTTTCACTCCACTGAGATTAATAATGATTTAGAGGGGAGCGCGAGAGGAAGATGGAAGGTGTTCATAACAGCACTGTTAATCCATGTGCTTCATGCGTCTAGATAAAAAAGCAACACCATTTCCAGGTCCTATAAACTGAGCACTTTTTTCTAGTTTATTGTTCAGAATCATAAAAAGAATAATTCTTGATGTTGTATCGACACAAGAAAATCTCCTGCCTCATCATTTTATTGTGTCATTTCATATGGGATTTTATATTCTACATGGCTTTAACTGATGAAGTTACTATATTACAATACCTAGTTAACTAAATACACAAGTTAATCATTTGACTTTCAATGAGGGTTAAACAGTCTCTAATAAGCAAATGGTACATTAAGTCTTATCTTTCATAGTTAGCACATTATACTTGAGATTGGCCTTGGTGTGGTTAAAAGTATGAAAAGTCTTCTTAACATTAAAAAGAAATAGTCTAAATGTCAGAAACTAAACTTTGAAAGTAACTTACAATACAGTATGTTAAATTTCTTGTTGTGTCATGAGACTTAAAAACAAAACTCCCCAAACCACGTTGTGTGAACATTCTGCAGAAATATATTCTGTATCCCATTTCTTTAAAAAAATCTGTGAATGTAATTGACTTTGATTCTCAGTTGCTCCATTGTCATTATCCACTTTAATTCATAGACTTCATTAATAAAGTTATGCATTTCCGCGGTTTATCTAGAAATAAAATACCAGATAAATTGCCAATAAAGGCTTTAAAAAGTATGCCTAGAACTTAATGATCTGTACTGCTCCAAAAATGAAGTAAATGCCCTTGCATTTTTTTTAGGACAAAGGCTATCATCTCATTTTACATTGACATATAGGAAACAAGGTAGTATATTTATGCAAAATTTGTGAAAACAAAACATTATATTTTACTACCCCAGAATAAATTATTTTTGTGTACTCTATTCTAGGATAAGGAAGGAAAAAAATATTGTAATAGTTGCAGTCTGAATTAACTTCAAGACTGGTATATCTTTTAAAAAGATAGTTGTCTTTCTTTTTAAAGAAAAAAAACTTTGGTTTAGATACAAAAATCTCATTAAAATAAAATGTTTAGAAATATGTTGTTGAGAAATCACTGGCAAATTACTGTCAGACCTCTGAAAAACAATCTAATTTGAATCACCAGTCTAAATAGGTCATTTAACTTAGAAAAATTAAAATGAGCTGTGCAGGGTCAACTCTTTTTCTAAAACATCTGCATCCTCAATGTCCTATTGTCTTCCAAGTCAAATAGAATTAAGTGTCAAGAACAAATATAATAACATTAATTTATTCCAAATCTTAAAGTTTGTCTGCAAGTGAAATGACCATAAAAGTTTACATTATATATAAAAACATTGTGTGTGTGTGTGTGTGTGTGTGTGGCAGGGGACTTCAAAAATTTGGGAGTGGAAGGACAGAAGGAAAAGCAAAGAACTCTTACATTTCAGTAGGTCAGTGATATGTGGGGTGCAGGGTCCTCTACTTGTGCTCTGTCCTTGCCTTTCACATGGGGCATGTCCACAGTTCACGCCAAATCAAAATCAGCTCAGACATACTTAATACAAAGCAAATACTTCCATTCTAGTTTAGTCTCCCACAAGCTTCTCATATCAAACTATCGCTATAAGATCATGAACCTTATCTTTCGCACCCAGCGCCTTTAAGGACTTAATCATCCTAGGACACTCTGGTAAACTTGGGGATCAAATCCCTACCCTTAGAACACCTTCCACAGTATATGCATAACTACAAAATCTTGAAGAGAACATCTTTGAAATATGAAACAATCGAATAAAATGAAGCACAAATGAAAGAAATTGGCTGCTTGAGACATCTTCTGTTCCTCCACACGAGACCATCCATAAAATCAAAAAGACCCCGACAATGCTGGAAAAAGAGGGTGTCAAGTGCTGGTGAGTGGGGTCTGACCTAGCAGGCAGGACACCCAGGGTGGCTGGCAAAGAGGGAATCAGCTCCAGGGCAGGTAGAGAAAGCGGTCAGTTTTGCTTCACGATTCCCCATGGCCACCAGGAAATGCACCCAAAGCTTTCTGGGTTAATAGTAACTTTGATTCTTAGAAAAAAAATACTTCCATATTATCCAGCCAGCAGCAGTCTATCACCAACAGGCAAGCAGTGATCAGAGATGCTAATGAAACAGGTTTTGCTCTCAGCCCATCTTCCTAACGCCACTTCCCATAAATGAGACCTTGATTCCCTCAAGACCTCTCTCGGTTTAAAGATGGAATGGAAGCACCTCTGCTCTCTCGAGGAAGCAAACTGAAGACTTGACATCGGGGAGTTGTTAAGGTACATTCTAAGCTACATTTTTCTTCAAAGGGTCAAGCCCAAAACAATTAAGATGTATTCATTTCCACATGCACGATAAAATTTTTATAACTGCCCGGCACAGAGAGAAACAATTTCACTCCAGCCACTACCACCCTCCTCGTGGGCCAATGACAGAAACCGTCCCAGACAGGGACAGAGCAGGCTGACTCTCCTTCCACTACAACCTCTCCAAATCCGCTTTTCGCCTCGCTGTCAGTCCCTCCTTAGTCCTTCATCAGGCGACCTGAAGCGGCAGCTTCTGCCCATCTTTAGTTCTGAGTGGACTCCGCGCAGCAACCGCCCTGCCTCCGGCGGGTCCCTCTGCGCGGCGTCCCCGCACCTGGGAGGTTCTCCAAGCCCTGGGACAAGAGGCTCCTGCAGGGTCTGGGGAAGCCCGGGGTTTCCGGCCTCCCAGGGCTCCCGCCACCCACACCCCCACGCCCAAGCGGATGAAGTTGCTCGGCACCCCGCGGCGCACCCAGCCGGGGTCCCTCCCACTCCCGCCCCTCCAACTCGGACTCCCGGGGGACCCCCGCCTCCGCGGAGGTGAGCGCGCACTCACCGGAGGTGAGCTGCATCCAGGCACAGATCTTGTACACGGTCGCCGTGTTGCAGAAAAAGAAGAGGGTAAAGCATATGATGCAGGCGATGATGAGCATCATGGAGAGGCCGATGAAGAAGGAGGCGGCTTTGAAGGCGCCCGAGGGCAGCGTGGAGAAGTCCGTGAAGCTGCCCCTGCAGGTCAGCTCCCGGGAGAAGCCGTTGCCGATGCAGTAGTGGAAGAGCCCGAAATAACCGGCTTGCGGGGTGTCCACGCCGTCGCCGATCCAGTAGGGCTGGATGAAGCACACCACGTTGACGATGGCAAAGCAAACGGTGAAGATGGCCCACAGCACGCCGATGGCCCGCGAGTTCCGCACATAGTTGGTGTGGTACAGCTTCGCAGCCTCCTGAGCCGGCAGCATCGCGGCGGCGGCTCCGGGCATTCTCCCCCTCCTTCTCCTTCTCCTCCTCCTCCTCCCGGTCCTCCGCCTCCCCCGCCTCTCCGCGCTCAGGAGACACACTCGCGGAGCCTCACGCTGCAACTCCCCTGCCGCCGCCTCAGCCCAGCAGCGCCAGTTTCAGAGTCTGCATCCTCGCTCAGGAAGGAGGGCGGGGGAGCGCCGAGCACCCCTCCGGCTCCCGGCACAGCCTCGCGGCCCCCCTTCCTCCCTCCCTCCCTCCCGGCCGGGGCTCCAGCCCTTCTCACCACCCCACCCCTCTTCCCGCCGCCGCTGCAGCTGCTGCAGCTGAAGGCGACAAATCCCGCGCGGGGCAGTGTGGCGCCCGAGCTCCGGCACCCCCACCGTGCTTCGCGCCTTCCGCCCCTCCCCCTTCGCTCCCGGTTCGCACCGACGGCTGCCCCCGGGCGTGGAGGACCTCGCGGCCCTAGGACGCCCCTCACGTGGCGGGCAGGCCTGGAGCTGGCGAAGGGGAATCTAAAGAGGAGACAGGAACGCCCACCGGGATCCTGCAGGCGATCCCGGGATCCTGGTTGGTGTTAGGGGCCAGGAGCACGAGGCGGAATCTGGGAGCATTTCAGCTCCGCACAGCAACGTGCTTCGACCTCTGCATCTTTGCAGAGACGCGCGGGGCAGAGCGGCAGGTGCTGGGGAGAGAGGCCAAGGGAGAGCAGACGTACTGCCCCCGAGACACTGCCTCATTACAACCACAGAACTGCCCCTGGCCAACTCCTCGGTTGCCTCGGGTCGGCGAGGCAGGAACGGGAGAAGTTGGGCAGGAGCTGGCAGACAACACTGTAAAAGACATACCTCAAGGGTGGTCTCATATCTGCTCAACTGAGCTGGTTTCCTCTTTGTGTTTTCCCCCTTCTCTGCAGCCAGATGAACTGTTGCAGAGCAATGCCCCATATATTCCCTTCAGTCAGGTCACTTTCCCCACAAATCCTGCCATAAACGGGACTTCTGGGGCATGAAAGTGACTGGGTCACTGAAATAGTTTGAAAACATTGGGTAGGTTGGCCAGTGTTACATTTCTTACACAAATATTCATTGTGCTGGGTGCTAAGAGTACAATAAGGAAGAGAGGTTATAGTTTTGATTTTCCAGGTGTTTCTCCCTGGCCCACAATGCAAAGCTCCAGTAACCAGCATTGTTTTCAGAGTAATTTCGACTGAATTATCCATACACAATTCCTTACATTTGCAGGTGGCACTGTTGTTTTATACCTGCACTTTTGTGCTGTTTTCCTCGTCTTAATATGCTCTCTTTCCAGTCTTTCTATTGCTCTGTTAATAGCCCCTGCCTTTCAAACTCAATTTTTTTTATCCCCATTAGTTACTTGCTTGGTTCCTTCTGATTCTGAATGAGTATTAGAATTAATTAATTAATTAATTAATTAGTAAAAGACACCAGAAACAAAAACATGTAATCTCCACTCAAAACAAGAGAACCAAAATGTTCCATAGCAGCAGCAGATTTTGGTAACAAACTCATTTTGGACCATATGACTGCTAACTTCTCTGAGCAGAAAGGAGAGAATTCTGTTAGAATTTGGACCCCCAAGTCTACATACACTTAATTGCACAGTTTATTATAATGCAAAAACATATGTAAACTTCTTAACAGCATCTTGCCATGATGCCCAATATGCCCACCTTCTTACTATAGCAGTGAGAGACATGAGATGCCAGGTTAAAATGAAACTATCAGGAACGAGTAAGAAAGCTTAGAATGGTTCTGTTTGGGGGTTGGAGAAGGGTGTGTATTCAGCTAAGTAAATGACTATTACATGGAAGAGGGGTCATACTCTAAGTGATAAGACCATCCAGGTCCCTCATCTGATAACCTGAAGATTTGAGATTGTATGAGGAAAGAGTAGAAAGAGGAATGTAGAACACACAATATAATGAAGGGACTGATACTTGGAAAGAATTTAAAAGGGTGACTGTCGGAATGTGATATTCGGCTTTTCCTATAGGTATGAAATGTAGGTATTACAGTTCAAGGTCCATTAGGTAGGACTTTGTAAAGAATTAAACAGTAGATGAGTATTATAAGTTTATATAACTAAGAATTTCGTGTAAGTATGGTTGTAGAGACTCAGAAGATCTTTAAACAAAATCAAGACATTTGGGGGAGGTGGGGAGGATGACCTAAATACGAGCTGGCCCAATATAACATTTGCAAGTCTCTAAAAATATAATTTGTGATGATGCATTATTAGTGCATTGGTGGAAGTGAAAGGTCAGAACTTCTGTTAAGTTTGTATTAATTCCTCTAAATTTGCTGGTAAATCAGAAAATCAGAAGAGTTTTGACATGGAAGGAGGAAGAGGAAAGGTGAGAATAATCGGATTTATGGGGCCATCTGGCAGGCCATGTGTCCCAAGCACAGAGAAAGCTTTACAGCATGAACTGACAATAATTTCTAGGGACTGTCCCAAGCCCTCACATCTCCAAACCTGCTTGCATGAAGTGATCATTCCTTAAAATCAATGCTTAAAAGAGATCTTACTATTCCCATGGAGTGGTCGAGATGGAAGTTTGCTGAGAGGGGAAAGGCTGAGAATCAAAAAGGCTACTTTAGACCTCAGTGCTTAAATTGCCTTTATAGGACAAAGAAAAGACTGGTGAGTGACTCAGATTCAAATGTTGTGATTCAAAGAGCTTTTCTATTTGAGTCATGCCCAAGGAAATCCTTATTTTTAATCTAGGTTTGAAATTGCTTCTCAGTTCGTGCTCAGAATCACTATGCCAAGCAGTACGCTCAAAGTATCCCCTCTTTTCAAGAGCAACTATCTAAAGTGATCCCATGGATTTCCCCTTGAGGCGAGGAATCAGTGAGGGATAAACTGAACCCTGCCAATGGCTCTTCTTCCTACCTTTATCTTGCCCTGCACTACAACAGATTTCCAGAATGAAGCAGGGTCTCCCAAAACTTGGAATTAGGGATGAGCTAGAACACCTGTAAACTTTTCAATCCTCATCGATGAATGCAGATGTCCTACGTCTTTCCAAATCCCTCTGCTGCCCACTTCTAACTTTGTCATCAGCAACCAGAAACACCAGAGGTAAAACTGTCCCTACCCTGAATCTAAAGCCTTGTCTGGCACCAGGAGTTCAGACAGCTCAGCACGTGGACAACTAATCACATTCATCAAATGTGATGTGACAAGGAAAGCTGATTTTGGGAGGAGGAAATAATAAAACTAGCCTGATTCATGCTAAGAAGTTACTATTGATAGAAAAGTATTTTGAAACTATAATATGATTCATATGTGCTAAATAACTAGTGGAGTTTACTGTCATTGACAGCATTGAATTAGAAACACTGAATACTCAAATCTCCAACCTCACTGTTAAAAATGTTTTTCTCTTACTGCCACACAGTCAGTAGCAAGACCCATTCTTTTCTCTAACTGTGTCTTAATGTTAGGACTATAAAAGAGAAAACAACAGAAAGTTGGACCGGGTGACACTACTAATAAATTCTGAATGAGTTAAAGAACTAAATGTTTTGACCTCAAACTAATCTGTGATAGCTTGGGAGAGTGCGAAAGCGAGGGAAGGCAAGAGACTAGGGATCCAGACTCAGCACCCTCTCTGCGTAACTGTGAGAGTCTAAGGATCTTGGGGCTTGATTTTCTCATCTCTAGAATTATGGTGAGGGAGAGACCAGGTTGGATGAATTCTAAGGTCGCTTTCTGCACTAAAATTCTGTCCTCTTCTACAAAGATTATTCCAGAGTGACTTTGCAAAATAAATAAATAAGTAAATAACAAAACCCAGTACTCGAAAAAAAAAATGATGGAAGACTTCACAAGAGATATTAGACTTTGGTGATGCAGATATTTTATTTAAAATTGAAAATCCCTTCTGAAATCAAATTATAGTATTTCAGGTATGGGTACTTAGTGGTCTCAGGTGAATCATTGGTATGACCTTGGGATATAGAGAAAGAGATGGTTTCTAAAATCTGTTACCTAATTGATTTCTGGGGCTATTACTAAGGTCCGTATCAGATCCCACTTCAGAATATAAAAATTCTAATAATGAAGCTCTTTTCACTCACCAAGGGTTTTCTTCTGCCTCTCCCTCACCTTAGTTTTCTTTTAGGGCTTTTCAGAAACACCTCTTAGTTAATCAGTCACAAGATTAGCAGTGGCAATCAGACAGATTGAGTGTTTTAAGACCCCTGCAAATAAGGATCAAATAGATCACAAGGCTCTGATTTCATTGCACCTTAGCCTGTACCACTTTGCAAAGACATGTGAGCTCCACACATGAAAAAAAGAAAAGAAATAGGAATATTAGTCATTCCCCTTTTGTCTCTGTTTTGAATTGGATTCTGTGTAAGTCACCCCTTTTATAAGTCCTTTTCACTTTTCCAGAACCTATCTAAAAGCATAAGTTGTTTTCTCATAAGACTGATCACCTCCATAGCCTATGCTAGAAAAACCATATTTCTGTTAACCTTGTAAGTCCTTGATGATTTCAGAACAGTTCTGTCTGAAGGTAAATAGTGACCTCTATTGAGTAAAATATTATGGAAGCATGATCATCACTTCAGGATGAATTTTTAAGTCTATAATGGGGCGATATAATATTAAAGTTTTAAGTTCAGTATGTAGGTTCTCTTTTCATTCAATCTAGTACTAGATGATCTTTCTGATCTTCAAAAAAAAAAATTCTATGTGCTGTTCATCTGAATCCGCTTCATGCAGTTTCCCATACAAGGTGCACCTTGATTGAAAATTAAAGCCTTCGTTTGGAACATCTACCCCAGTACCTTTAATTTGGGGCTTGTATTTGAAACCACTACCAGAATTGTCTGCTGAAGTCATCTCTATCCACAAAACTTGTCTTTCCTGCAATCACCTGACTCTCCCAAACCTCAGCTTCAGCTTTTCTGATAATCTCCTCAAGCCACAGAGCACGTATGTTAAGTCTTATAACCCCAAACGCCCATCTACATGTGAAGGAAAC